TGATCACCTGCGAATTCCGGGCGCAATAGCCGGCGCTGCATCACCGACGTGCACGTGGCGGAGCAGGCAGCGGCAGCGGGACACGCCCAAGCTTCGGCAAAGCTGCGCTGCTGTGCCTGGAATGCCAACCACAGGCTGTAATCTGCAGCGCAAAACAAAAACACTGCTGCATACAGCCCCCCCCCCCGGGCCTGCCTGCCTGCACAAACTCGCTGAAGTCGATGTCGCCGCTGCCATCCTTGTCCATAACGGCCAAGATGGCCGCCAGCTCTGCCTCACCAGCGGGGTGGCCCAGCGTGGCCAGCGATGCGCGCAGCTCCTCGGCATCGATTACGCCGTCGGCTGCACTCAAATAAAGAGAAGGGCAGGGTTGGTAGTGGTTCGGAGTGCTCAGCGCGGCGAGGGGGGCGCCGGCGCCGGGTGGCAGGCGGCCCGGCTCGGCGCTCTCACAGTTTGCGTCGAAGTAATGGAAGGCCCGCTGATATTGGGCCAACTCTTCCTTGTGCATCTCGCGGAACAGCGCGCCGAGGATGGAGACAGGTGGGGTGGGGAGCGAGGGGAGCGGCAGTAGGCGCACACACTCGCATCAAGAAGCTCTAGGCTGCCATAATAGGGCGGCGAGAGCCTCAAGGACCGCAAACTGACCGCCAGCTCATCGGCGCCGCCCACCTCGCTGCCGCCACTGCTGCGTTTAGGCCTTACGTTCACCCGCCCTGGTGCTGTTATAGCCAATCAAACAGGAACATGCTGCGATCGACGTGCTTCACGCGACATGGGTGCAGCGGGCGCTTTCGTGGGATGCTGCCCTGGGGTGGGCGGCGTGGCGGCACACCTGGGCCAGAAGGCGGCGGCAACCGTGCGAAAGGCGCCTGGCATGATCGATCTGTAATGGCCGCCGGAGATGTGAGCAGTAGTGACATCTTGGGGATGAATCATGTTACCATGAAGCTCACCTGCTTGAAAATGGCACCCATGGCCTGCCACTTTGGTGCAACGCCGCAGCAGCGGCGACAAGTGGCGGCGGCAGGGAGACGGAAGGGACGCCAACAAGGGCCCTCGCTGCCGCTTATGCATCAGATTAGGCAGCAGGCCGATGTGGGTTGCGCGCAGGACGGTTTAATGAGGAATGCTGGCGGGCCTGGAACAAAGCCGGGGTCATCGCGCGCTGCTGCCCTGCTGGCTGGCAGCCGCGGCTGAAGAGCCCGCCCCGCGCCTGGTCGTGTCCTTTGGGGCCTGGACGAAGCCCACTAGCCAAAATGGCCGCTCGTCCACTCGTGAGTGTGATTGGCGAGAGCGGCGAGGCCGCCGAGCAGGCAAGTGGCGCATGGCGGGGTGCAGCCTATTCTTGGGGATGTCCGCAGCGTGCAGGCGGGGATGGATGCGCCAGCCTGGGCCTGGAGGGGCGTGCAGCATGGGCCAGCCCGCATGATCGGCCATGCAGCACGCCACAGCGGCATTTCAGGCTTGATAGCGGCCACGTAGCGACATCGGTAGCCTGGGGCAGCAGCGGGGCCCGTTTGGAGACGGGGGGAGCTCGCCAGCAGAAGTGCACTGGCGGCCTGTGCAGCGTGAAAGCCTTCAGCCGGGCTCCGCGGCGCCAGCGCAGCGTGCAGGTCCCATGCAGCATCGCGGCGGCGCCAGCAGCGAGGCTGGGGGCCAGCGCCGCCCAATGCCGCCCATGCGCCCGCCACGCTGCCTGCGGCACCTCCCCAGCCCTGCTGCTGCAGCCATCTGGCCACGCCCAGCACCTTCCCGCCTGAGGGGAGGCAGCGGGGACCCTCACGCCGCCGCCGTGCTGCCCCTCCCCGCCGCGCCGCAGGTGGCGCTGCCCGCCGTGTTTGTGGCGCCCATCCGCTCGGATATCGTGCAGAGCGTGCACACCCACATGGCCAAGAACCACCGCCAGGCGTACGCCGTCAAGGCCAAGGCCGGCCACCAGACGGCGGCCGAGTCGTGGGGCACGGGCCGCGCCGTGTCGCGCATCCCGCGCGTGCCCGGCGGCGGCACGCACCGCGCAGGTGCGCCTGGCTGCGCCCAGGCGTGGGCGGCTGGCTGCGCGTGCTCTCGCCGTGGCCGCGAGCGTGCATGTGCTGCCGCCGCCGATGCTGCCTGGGGTGGATGCCTGCTGCCAGGGATGATGGCAGCAGGCAGCACGCAGCTGGCAGCGCTGGATTGGGCGGCCAGCTGGCACGCGGTGGAGGCGGCAGCTGCTGGCAGCGCTGGCGGCGCATGCGGGGCGGCAGCATGCTGGAGAGGGCCCGCGGGCTGGCGGCAGCAGCTCCCGGCACGCACGACCGCAGCCCCCGCCGCGCGGCCAGGCCGCAGCCGATGACGCAGGCCCCCGGGCCGCGGCAGCCCGCCTCCCACCCCTTTCGCCTGCCCGGCCCTCGCCCCGCTGCCTCGCCGCCCCGGCACCCTCCTCGCCGACGCCGCCCCACCTGCCTCCCTGCCCTTCCACCCCGTTTGCCCTCCCGCAGGCCAGGGCGCGTTTGGCAACATGTGCCGCGGGGGCCACATGTACTCGCCTACCAAGACCTGGCGCCGCTGGCACCGCAAGATCAACGTCAACCAGAAGCGGTACGCCGTCGTGTCGGCCATCGCCGCCTCGGCGCTGCCCGCGCTGGTCATGGCGCGCGGCCACCGCATCGACGGCGTGCCCGAGGTGCCGCTGGTGGTGTCGGACGCCGCGGGTGAGCTGTCCTCCCTCCCGCCACGCTTTCCTCCCCGCCCACCCGCGCCTTGCCTCCCTGTGCTGTCGCTCTGATTTGCGGGCAGCAAGGCGGCAGGGCTGGGTGGAACGCCCGCGCCGGGGCCGCGGTTGCCCCTCGGCCCGCCGGCGCCTGCTGGCTGGCCTGACTGCGCCATGCCACTGCGGCTGGGAGGAGCTTGAGAGAGGCGGGCAGCGAGCAGCTCCTTGCGGCCGGCTCAGAGCAGCCGCTCGTGGAGCAGCAGGCAGCCCTGCAGCCCTGGGAGGGGCAGGGCTGGGCAGCCAGCCAGACAGGGCCGGCAGCGGCGGCAGCTGCCCCGCCGCGGCAGGCAGGCAGCCGGCTGGCCTTTCCCCAGCAGCCGCGGCTAGCTACCGCTGGGGCTGCCCTTCTCGCCTGCCTGCCCCTCTTTGCCATGCATCCTGCCCGCCACGCGCCTGACCTGACCCGCCCCCTGCCATCCCCGCCCCGCCCGCCGCCGCCCCGCAGAGAGCATCACCAAGACCAAGGCGGCTGTGGAGCTGCTGACCAAGGTTGGCGCCATCGCTGACGTGGACAAGGCCAAGGTGAGGCCAGAGGGGCGGCGGCTGGTGTGCCTTGGGTTTTTTCGGGTTTACACGACACTCAGCGGTGGCGTCGGCAGCAGCAGAGCCGCGCGGCGAGTCGGGATTGTTGCTTTGCCGGGGCCGCCGCCGCGCCTAGGCTGCAGGGAGGGCGGCCGGCGGCATGGTACAGGTGGCAGCCGCAGGCTGCCTGTTCGCCTGTCCGCCTGCGCACACACACCTCCTCCTCCTTCCTCCTCCCTCACACCTGCTCCCCCTCCCCCTCATCTCCCCCCCTTCCCGCTCCTTTCCTCCCCGCCACAGGACTCCAAGAA